CTAGTTATGTTAGTAAAGAGAATATATTCTTAGATGTTAAAACCCAAATATTGAAGTTAAAAGAAAACTAAATGGTTATTTTTTTTACTCCATATACCGACTCAAAATGTATAGGAAAAATATTAACCATCATTTTTTATAAAACTTCTTTCGGAATGATAGAGTGTAAGATATTCTCATCATAATTCAAAATGCTCACATGTTATTTTCCAATTTATACACGACTGAATGTACTCAAATTAAGTGACTCCGCAATGCACTATTGAGTGTATACTTAAGTATGAAGAATCACCATCTAACGATTATGTGTATTGGTCGAAGAATTAAATATGAATATTATATTAAAAGTTAACTCCGTATGTTATATGATCATTTTTCATAAACCATAGTGTTAATAAAATAAGAATTGTTACAATTTAGAATAAATTTTCTAATGGAATTATTAAAATTATATTTTTGTAGAGAAATGAAATTTCGTGTTTAACTGAGATAGTAATCATTGAATTTAATAATAGACATAGAATGTATATATTGCATACCTCTAGAATCATATTTTTGTAATGTTCATTCTATGTTACCACATTTGTAAGCCAAAATTATTTGGTTTCTGAATTGACATTATTCATTTTTAAGCTCAAAATTATATTAGCTCAAGCTTTATGTACTAAAACTATTTAAATGCATTGAATGAAATGTGTGGTGCATCAATTGTTGAAGAATTTAAGTAGCCAACTTTTTTCTAATGAAACCTATTAATATCACGCAAGTAAAGTGTCATTATGAAATTAATCTAAATTACGAAATTTAATATAATATTATACAATGCAATGTTCCAAGTTGTAAGGTTTGATTTGATTTGTATGTCTTTCGCATTTGGAGTTTGCGCTGAAAATATGTTAAATGTTATGTATGAATGTGTTTGCACCCAATTTGCTTGCCTTCATGGAAAAACTAGAAATGAACTTTGAACTGGCATTTGAAAGACTGAGTTCCTCAGCAGCAGCTGTAAGCTAGAGATTAACTAAGGTTTAACGCGCATTGAGAGGAGTACATCAAGCTCTTCCAGCTCAATACCATTTTCTGCATCAGCTCGAAATTCAGATCACACGGCCTTAGTTTGAGTTCGTACTTGACTCCCGCAACTCCCGTATGTGTGGTCTGAGCATTCATCTACGCAAGTGTACTACTGTACTGGGTTGACCTTCGAGTCAACATTTACCTGTCCATGTGGTTACAGAAGAAACTCTATTAGCTGCTTCCATTCTCTCCAGATTGTAGACGGACTGAGCATTTCTCTACGGAAGTGCACTGCTGTGTTGACCTTCGAGTCCACACATTCATCTACGCAAGTGCAGTACTGGGTTGACCTTCGAGGTAACATTTACCTGTCCATGTGGTTAGAGAAGAAACTCTTCTAGCTGCTTTCAGACTCTCCAGATTCTACACGGAATGTTGACGTAGAACATATGGAGGGACATATTTTCTGTCTATCTATACTGTGGACTCTGTCGTTGATATAGCATCAGAGTAGACTGATAGTAGAAATAACTTCATTTGGCGATTTGGAAGCACAGCGGACTTAGGTCTTTTGTTTTCTGATGAGAACGAATTAGAGAATGATACAGCTGCAGTCAAGAGTCGTCTGGGTTATGTTGTGTGCAGAGGGTTATTGGTACCACGCAAGAGTCCGTTCAAAGAATTGTATATTTTGTGAGATCCAGCAGTTGTATTATTTCTATGGTAGGAACGATAAATATTGGATTCTAAAGCTTTGATAATGTAGGTCTTTGTTTGGACTTCGTGGATGCAGTACAGAATGTATGATGATTATATGGACACCGAGAAAATACACAAACTTTCAGGCGAGATCAAAGAACACAATAACCAACCAGCCCTCAAAGCTACGTGAACGACTGGATTTGTCTGTCGCTCGACACACAAACACAGCTACGAGTCTCGCATATTCTCAAGGATCATGTCCGACACGCTCCTTCGTGTGTTGTCTAAGGTAAGATTCTTGACTTATGGCTTCTTAATTCATAGACGGGAATTCCCGGTTTAAGTTTCAAGTCGACTGCTTCTGACTCAGAGTTAGCTCTAGTTGAGAAACCTGAGGAACACAGTCTTCATACTAATTTCGTGACCAGGGACTTTACGCACCCTCTGCAATCAACGCCAAAGCAGTTATCTCATACAAGACTGAAATAGCCAATATCAACACTCACTAACACAAGAAATTCAACACAATCCTTCATTCTTACAAGGAAGCCAGTGCGGCCGGAGTCCTTGACCGTCTACCCAACGCTACCTGGGTATATCTCATTGTAACTTTTGCCAAAAATGCCAAGGCTGCCAAGGACTTGGGTAATTTTAAGACATACGCTGCTTGTAAGTCAAGCTGGATAATCGTCTTTGACGTGCAACAGGAATGTCATCGCAGACATAGCCAATCGTACACGAGTCGCATATATTTCTCCGAAGCTGGCCGATCCAGACACTAAGTTTAAGTAAGCGATGATGCAAACTATGTGAAAGCACATCCCGAAAATTAGGCCTGGAGATCTGTCCATCGGAATCCAGATATGTGCAACCTTCTTGGTAGCTCTAGCTATGTCATAATTTTCATGTGACTCTGTATGAGTTGAGTTACAGATTCGAGATGGGCTTGCAAAATATTCTAGTACCGTTTTGCATTTCTTTTGAGCTTGGGAAAGGCTAGTTCAGTCTTTCAACGGCACAATCAACTATTGTATGAGAGTCAGAAGCATCCGTCTCTTCCCAATTGCAAACACCACACAATATATGGAGTAAATAATTTCTCGAATTGCATATGTTTGGTTGGTTATGTACAAGGGGTAATTGATTATTTCAGTATTGTTTTGAGATTTAATAAATAAGCTTTGATATTTGCTCTAAATTGAAAATGTATTTTATGGGATTTAATCGGTTGAAGAGAAAATTGGTCCAGAAAATAAAAAATGCAACTGTATATATTCTGGAAGAGTTTGTCCTCGACTTGGGAACTGCTGTCGGGCTTAGAATGCATACTTTGAAGTCCTATGTTTTGACCATATAGTCATTAGATTGCTTGCTTCGGGAAATGCAGCGAACTCCGACGTGGCTTGCCATCAGTTCTCAGACTCAAATGGAGGCAGTAAAAGTATTCTGGAGACAATGATCTGGCAAATTCGAATCAGGATTAGTATTTTTGGAAAAAATTTCTACTGAGATGAGGCTAGGTAGTTTGCGAGTTGGCAAAAGGATGATGACTGGTAGTTTGGTAACAGCCACAGACCGTTTCCGGTTTCCCTGTGGATCCAAATTGTTCAGTATGGAGACCTGCTATTCCCATTCTTAGCGAAAAATGTGTGTTCAGATCACATTCTTATCCAACCTCGAACGGCTGTTTGGGCCTGAAGGTTTTCTGTTTATTTAAGGAGATTCTATCCTGCTAAAGATTCACATGGAGAAGCTATCCCTTATCCCTATAAATTCAAAGTTTCCAGAATGTGGACCTGCGAATCCCATGATTAGGGAGGACTTCATGTTTAGATTATCTTCTGATCCGACCTGAAACGGCTATACGGGCTTCGTGCTTTCTGTTTATCCAACTGGTTTCAGTTGGATAAACATAAATTCTATCCTGCTATATATCTACATGGAGAAGACATGCCACTTCATATATAGACATTTGGTGAAATTTTCAAATTGCTTCAGACTTATTAAATTTATGCAGGTGTTGTTATGGAATGCAGGTGTGGAAATACATTTTTCCACACCTGCATTCTGTAACAACACTTACAGTATTGAGATAAATATTTTACCGTGGAGCTCGGACCGTATTTACTATCAGACGTGTTATTGCTCGAGCATAAAGAGTAAATTGTGTACGAAGACATTTTCACCTTCCAGTCAGTCTACATGGATAAAGTAAAAGAAATTCTGCTCTGGTACAAATCAACCAGGTGGTTGTAGATTAGAAATTTACGTCTAAGTATTCACATTTCACAAATAAAGAAGATGAACGATTTGATCGAATTCATTATTATCCTGCTTGTTGGATAAGATTACAGACCTGGTAAGTGTTTTTGATATTTCCATCACCTCTTGCAGGAAATCTCGGAGAATGTTGTGTATCAACTAGTCAAGCTCGAGATAAATTCTACGGTCTTACTTATGATTTGAGAAGATTCTGTTAATTTTCTTCGGCATGTCGGCACTGTGATGATGTACATCTTCAATCTGCTTGCACAGCTTAAGTAAAGACGGTGCTGAAGCCCCTCCTGATCCCAATGCTGGGTAACGGTTGTAGACCAGAATCGCGGCCTGTTTAGGGTCCAGAAAAATCAGCACTAGAATGTGCTGATCGAACGTACTCTTGGACTTTTTTGTAACAAAGGATGAATTTTTGCCTTCTCTCGAACCAGCAGTACATATTGATGACTTATAGCAATCTCAGCTATAGAGTCTTTCAATTGCAAGCGCTTCAGATTCAACAGGATTCTAAATTCATGAGTTCATCCTCTTTGGAAAATCTTGTAAGCTTGATGTTTACGTGTGATAATTTAATGTGTTCGGCACTTAGATATGTTCAACTTCCGCAAGTGGTACCATAGTTCCAGTATTGAGCATACATTCCATATTCATATTAATTCTGCTTAGTTGATTCATCGAAAAGTCTGATCCGGAGAGTTCATATTGTGAACGGACGCCTGGACCACGTTTCTTTTTGAGGTTGCAGCTTGTTGCCTTGACAAAGGTTTCATCCATCACGGTTCAAAGGGGAGGATATAAGAAGATGACGCTCGTTCCAGGTCCTTCCCGTTGGGAAGAGGGCGTCGACTTTGACCCGGCGGATTATCTGCTAGGAGTAGCATGATGACGTTTTAAGCTACAAATACTTACGCAGAAACGTCCACAACTGCGTCATCCTTCAGATTCCAATATGCCAGAGTTAAAATGAAAACATACGCACAGAACAATTTAAATTCCATCGTATCGGCTTTATTCATATTATGTCTTCGCAATGTGAGTCTCCGCTGGTGGAAGGCGGCATCAAGTGAGGGATAAACGCAACTCTCGACACGAAATTCACTGACAATGATTTGCATGAGGAGGTATCTGAGTACCAGAGACTACAATGGAATTACTGATCATGTACCAACGTGAGCCAAGTCTATGCATTTGGGTCCATTTTGAACCTCCTGCAGTCGTCCTCCACGTAGCCGCCCTGCTTGCCATTCTCTCCGCCGGTGTTGCATTCGTCCGTGGGTCGTCGCAGCAGCCTTCCGCAGTCGTTCTCGTCCATTGTGAACGAGCACCCCCTGAACGCCTCGGCCGAGATGTCGATGTGGCCGGTCTCGGGAGACGGGAAGTCGTAGCGCTGGTCCACCTTTCGGCCGTCGGCGAAAGTCTGACCTTTGTAGCTTGCGCAGAATGAGTTGATCGCGTTGATGATCTGTGATGAGCCCCGCGTTAGATTTGTAAACTTAGATTTCCATGCACCAATTTCAGATCAATGAACACAGTAAAGGTACGTAATAGAGTCTGATCCAACTATTCTAAGATTCGAAATGTGAAGACGAATTACGAAGAAGAAGGACGAATCACACCCTTGCACGTGTGAACTTTTTCCCAGAGTTGTAGCAAGTGACCCTCTCGGCACATTGGGCGAGCGGGAGCCAGGAGGCCGCCACCAGAGTGGCCAGCAAGAACGCGAAGAGGACAACACGGGCCATGGGTACCACAGAATCTGAAAATCGGTAGAGAGAAGAGCTGCGAGTGTTGCTGAGAGGTGTGAGTGCGATTCATAGGAACAAAGTTGTGTTTATATAAGGTTCTGATGGCTCGGACTTCTGACCCGATAGACTTCCACTTTTGTGCCATGGTCTTGCCAAAAAGAAGGACCAACTGAGCTGAGGATTGATCCACAGGAGTCACACATGCGTTATGATTGTTGCATACTTTAATTTACTCATTGGCACGTTGGAAGTCAACTATGGACGAAAATGTGTACAGTAACCAGCCACTATAGTTGAAGTGATGTTATTTGCATACATTCTGGTGGGGATGATAAATATATTTTGGTTAGTATAACATATGTTTCACTTGGTTATGAAATTGGGTTCATCACTGGTTTCTTGTAGTTATTCATGCGGTCTTACCATTCTTTGAATGTAACCTCCTGTTACATTACGTGAACTACTCATAGTATAATAAAAAAGTCAGATGCTCAACTTTCTTAAAAGCGGCCTCGTATGCAGTGTCATTAGATGCCAGGACAATATGGCAGTCAATGTCACTCGGTTAAATTTTATTGAGTGCATTTCAAAAATGTGCTAACAATTTGGAATTCGATAAGATAGATTGCTACATCGTTTTCACAGTGGTCCTCCGTCGTGTCACGATGATTACTCTCAGATTGAACCATTTCAAAATCCTTCAATTTCCGAATAATTTGCCAAAAGCTTACATTGTGATGTATATCCTTATATCACAAATCTACCTTTTCTTAGCTGGTTGAAAAGGCCCCAAAAATGCTTAATTTCAAGGATAAGTTATCAAAATAAACTGATTCTTGATGCATATTTACATGCCTCAGTTGAGAAAGATTTGGAAATACAAATCTTTTATAAAAAAATATATATTTCCTCCCAAAGATTCGATTTCAAGCATGCAACAAACTGGTGATCAAAGACGCTTCTTTGCTAACAAGCCATATTTATTTTGAGATGAATACCTAAAAGTTAAAAACATCTTATATGAATCATTTAGTCGTGAAAGTATAGCTATACAAGGCTCGATGCAGTGGGGGAAATTTTCTGAAAACTCGTTTATGACCCCTAGGTCTTAGAACAGACTGTCAAATTTTCATACAAGGTCTTAAGCAGAATATAAGGCTTTTAGATTAGACTGCAGATTGTTGAAGATGTCTTTGTCTCTAATAAAGAACTGTGAGGATGATTAAAATCTTCGTTGTGTATCCCAGTGGTTCAATGCTGCAGGCATTTACATAGCACCATTCAACACGGTTCTTAACGGTGGTTTCTCACAAGTATGGCAGGTGAAAATATACCTACAATCTTTACAACCAACTGCAGGCCTAAGCTAAAGTGACATGACAAGCTCCAATCGGGATAAGTTTATCAAGGTTTGAAATTCTCTCACCCAAGAGACCTCGCTTTTGTGGCATTATTTCTTGTCAATAAAGTCGAGGGAACCAGCTGTGAAATGTTGTCTTTTTGTCCTTTAACTTGAGGCGTTTGACAAGGTTTTTCGTGATTTTCTATGGAAAAGTATGGAATTTTGGAAAGTAAATTCATACCTTGCGAACCACGAGTGTCTTCATCTCAGGGCTATTGAGACACTTGCAATGCACAGAGAGATCATAAGATTCTATATGAGAGAGAGAAAAATGATTAGAGAGAAAAATGATTTTTTATTCGTTAGGAACCTTTTTAATGTCGACATCAAAGAGTGACCTCTTATAGAAAACGGTATAAGCTTTGGATGTACATTTAGAACTGCTACAAGCCTTATCAAAATATAGAGGGAGTATGTTATATTGCTCTTGGGTAGTAATTCAGAGTCCCACTTCACAGCATAGATGAGAACCTTCAACTTCCAACATTTGAGTAAAAAAAGAGATATCCACTTTCCTCAACATTGTATGACCTTTGCATCAAAATGGGAGGTGATGACCCAAGACTAAATAGGACTCAGTGCTAATTTATTGCATGCTGATATATTTCGAAATGCCAATGTCCAACACTAGAAAGGGATGCAAAGGCTAAATGACTTGCATAGCTTTGCTTTCAAGCAATATGCCATCTGGTCCACCTCCGAATTGTATCAGGAGTTCCAGAATCCAATGTCTATTCCAGATAGATATCTATAAACTTTTGCTTATTGTGATTAGTTATAAAGTCTGATCCACAGCGTACATATTTGGAGCGTGCAGCCAAACCATATGTATATTTGACGTTGCACCTTCTTTCGCAGACGACGTTCAATCCATCTGTTTTCCAGGGTGAGGTATATGGACATGGCACTCATTTCGTTTTATTCCCGATTTCAGGAGACCATGGACCTTGCCCCCGCAAACACCGTCATGACAACTTTGGAAAAATTTTGCGTAGAAAATTACAAAAGTTCATAATTCCGAGTTGGGTCTACTTGCTGAATGAAATGCATACACAGCAGAGAACAATGTAGATTCCAAAAGTTGCAGCCTTTATTCAATTTATTGAGTGACAATGTCAGCCTCGGCTGGCTCAAGGTCGCATCCTATCATACGAGAAGGATAGCCGGAAATCCGCTATCAAATCCGCTGACAATAAGTAAGATGACATGGATGAGCTCAGCACTGGATATATCCAGCTTTTGATATAATAATCGATCATGTTCTAACATGAGACTATTCTATGCATTTGGATCCATTTTGAACCTCCTGTAGTCGTCTTCCACGAGGCCGCCCTGCTTGCCATTCTCTCCGCCGGTGTTGCATTCGTCCGTGGGTCGTCGCAGCAGCCTTCCGCAGTCGTTCTCGTCCATTGTGAACGAGCACCCCCTGAACGCCTCGGCCGAGATGTCGATGTGGCCGGTCTCGGGAGACGGGAAGTCGTAGCGCTGGTCCACCTTTCGGCCGTCGGCAAAAGTCTGACCTTTGTAGCTTGCGCAGAATGAGTTGATCGCGTTGATGATCTGTGGTGAACACCAAGTGAGATTAGTCAATTTGGATCTGCATCCATCGATTTCAGATCGATGAACACAGTAAAGGTATGCAGTCGAATTTCGTCGAGCGATTCTAAGAATCTAAAATATGAAGTTTAATTGTGAAGAAGGAAGATTCTCTCCCTTGCTCGGGTGAACTTTCTCCCGGAGTTGTAGCATGTGACCCTCTCGGCACATTGGGCGAGCGGGAGCCAGGAGGCCGCCACCACAGTGGCCAGCAAGAACGCGAAGAATACAACACGGGCCATGGGTGCCGCAGAATCTGAAGATAGGAAGAGAGAGGAGCTGCGGGTGTTGTTGAGAGGGTCACGCATCCGATAGTAAATAGGGTCTGAAATTTACAGAGAATCGCTATTTTTGATTATATAGCTGTTATTGTGTAAGTTCCATACCTGCAAAACTGTAGAAGTCTGAAGCAATTTCAGAAACGAATCTATTCATAAAAGTGATCTTATGGTCACACAAGAAGTGGCGTTTCTTTTCCATGTCGATCTTTAGAAATAACATGTCCATCTGGACTCTTCCAGATGGACAATAAACAACCACGACGCCTGCTCACACGTTTGAGGTTGGATCATAAACTATTCTAAAATTGACTTTCTTTGCTGAGCATGTGAATCGCAGGCCAACATACTGGGCAGTTTGAATCAACAGGAAAAGAGGGTATTATTTCCGATTAGTGACCAAAACACCGCTAGCAATCTCAGCAAGGTGTTTTGCAAGCTTTAAAATCACGATCCTCATATGTGGTTCCATAATAATTCTACTGCTTTCATTTTCATAGCAAAATGGATGGCAAGCCACGTAGCAGTGCGGTACAGTTCATGAAGCAAGGTATCGATTGCCTGAATGACAAAGGTTCCCAACAAGAGTTCGAACCTTTCCAGCATATATACAGTTGTTGATTTTCAATTGTGCAACAGTCGTATTGAACGTATAAGAGTAAATATAAAGAGAAAAGTTTGCAGATATCTCAGCTCAAAAAATAAATTGCAAAACATTACTGAGCTAAATTTCATCCCTGGTACATGACCATAATAAGACATCCATTTGGAGAGAGATTGAATTTCATGAACTGATCCTATTTGCAATTGAGAAGAGAGAGATGCTTCTGTCTTCTGGTACATTTGTTGGTTGTGGCGATGAAAGATTCAGCTAGTCTAGCCCATGCTCAAATACGGGCAACCCTATACTGGAACTATATTTTTGTAACGAGTCCGAAACTTTCAAGGCAATTTGAGAATACATCAGATTACCTACGTGCTAGGCAGACATTGTACATGTCTTCCAAGCCCATCTCGAATATGTGATATAATTCAAAAGTAATACACGGATTTTCTGACTCATATACAATTGCCAAGAATGTTGAACATATCTGGAATTCCGTGGCCAAATCTCCAAGCCTCCTGTGGGTCATGTGCTCTCACATAGTTTGCTTCAAGGCTTACTTAAACTTGGTCCCTGGATCGACAAGCTTCGGAGCAATACAAGCGACTCGTGTACCATTTGCTATGTCTGCGATGATATTACTATTGCACGTCAGAGACCCATTGTATACGTCGTTCTGCCCGATCGTAAGAATGCTGTTGTCTTGGTAAAGAGCAAACAGAGTGTTCAGCGAATTGATGTACGCTGCCGGTTTCTCTGCAATCACAGACAGTTCTCGTTAGATAATTATATTTTCAAAATCTTACTGCTTCCTGAGGATTGCGTTAAAGGTTTGAGATTGAAGCTCGACTTACTAGCAGCGTATTTCTTGAAGTCACCCAAGTCCTTGGCAGCCTTGGCATTTTTGGCAAGAGTTGCGTTGAGCTCGACCCATGTAGCGTTGGGTAAACGGTCAAGGACTCCGGCAGCACTGGCTTCCTTGTAAGATTGAAGGGTCGTGTTGAATTCCTTGTACCATTGAGTGTTGATGCTGGCTAGTTCTGTCTTGTACGAGATCACAGCTTTCGCGTCGATGGCAGAGGGCGCGTAAAGTCCCTAGTCCACGACATAACCATCAGGACTGTGGTCCTCAGCATTCTAAACTAGTCCCGACTCTGAATCATAAGCAGATTACTTGGAGCTTCAACCCAGAACTCCCGTATACGAATCATTTTGTCCTAAGTAAGAAGTAAAATCTTACTATTTAAAATCTGTCAAATGATATGAAATGAATAAAAAGTCACCTGTGCGAAGAGTGCAGCGACTGTGAGTCCCACCACGACTGTG